GACCAGGCGCGCCTCAGGCCAGCGGTGGAGAGAGAGAGAGAGAGAGAGAGAGACGCCGAGCGCAGGCGGCGCCCAAGGCCAGGAGCAGCAGTAGCGGGAAGAGGTGCCGTGTGAAGCGGAGGAGCGGAGGAGGAGGGGGAGGCGGAGGAGGAGGAGGAGGAGGAGGAGGACGAGGAGAAAAAAAAACGGGCAGGAATAGGAGGAGGAGGAGGAGGAGGAGGAGGAGGAGGAGGAGGAGGAGGAGAGCGTGGGGGGGCGTACAAGCAGGGACCTTGGTCAAGACAGCAGAGACGGAGCGAGCGGAATCGAGGGAGCCGACGGGAAGAAGCGGGGGCATCCTCTGTTGCACTTTTCCATGGGCGGGCCCGCGCGGCCGCAGACCGTGTTCCTGCTCCTGATGTCTTCATCCCCGCTCTTTCCCCTGTGTGCGTCTCTGTGTCGTTCCTGTGCCCAATGTTCTGGTCCCTGGAACATGCATGCTCGTCCTGTGCCTTCACTTTGAAATCTCATCATGGGAAACGCATGTTCCCACCTGGTCGCAGACCGCGCTTGGCTTTGAGCGGATTGTGTTGGGGGAGCGGCAGGAGGACGACAATCACGACAACGACGAGGAGGACGACCCCGATGTCCAGCGCGGTGAACAAGACAAACGCGCCGTGCAGAATCGCAACCGGCGCTCGCGACTGGGGGGCCCAAAAATATACACCACCACCACCTCATTCACCCCCTCCCTCCCCCAGGAAAGAGGAGAGGAAGAGGAGGGTAGAGGAGAGAGGAGGAATCGACGTGGTGGAGGTGTATATTCTTTGGGTCCCCATCGACCTTCTCGCTCTGCTGGGTGTTTCGAACCAGCTCGAACCGTGAGGGCCCCTGAGCCCGAAACCGGGCAGAAACGCCCGCAGCGTTTGCACGACGCCCGGCTGGTGAACGGGGGGGACGACGGCCGGTGGCCTGCTTGAGTCGAAGCCTCTGGCCCTGCCAGAAGATCACCGGGTCGTGCGTGCTCGACGCGGCGACAGCGGTCCCCATCAGGTGGATCAGGTTGTTCTCCAGCCCCTGGCCCCCAAGAGGAGGGGGACACGGGGGAGGAAGAGGAGGAGGAGGACGAGGAGGACGACGACGACGACGACGACGACGACGACTCCGAGAATGGGAACAAAGAGGAGATGAGGGCGAAGAGGAGGAGGGGGAGAAGGAGAAAGAGGTGGAGGTGGAGTAGGAGGAGGTGGGCTCGCAGGCATTGTGGCTCAAAACCATTGTGGCTCCTCCGCACCGCCCGGGCATCGTGCTCTCGGGGGGGGGGGGGGGGGGGCAGCCTCAGCGAGATGCCGTGGAGTGGGCGGCCCGCGTACAGCGCGACCAGCAACATGTGAGGGAGATCAGCCACGGCTATATCCGCATCCACCCGCAGGTGATCAACCGCGTCTGCTACTGGTACCACCCTGTTGGCGATCTACAGGGTGCACTAGGTGCTCGACATCATCACGGAGAACTGCGCGCGGCGAAAGAGCCGACCTGCCTGGCGCAGGAGGCTACGAGACCAACGCGCAGAACATGGACCTGTACTTGCGGCCATAACAGCTCGCGGGCGACCTGCGTTGCACCTGGACTTCTGCCTGGCTGTAGGGTACATCAGTTTCCAACGTGATAGTAAATGCCCTCGTCCCCCCAGGAGCGAAAAACTTCATCGAATGCTTGATTGGTCGATGAATCCGCCGACCCTGCCGTCAGCGTGTGTGAGGGGCTTTTCCGTTGGGGTCGTCCTCTACCGTGCAATCGTCGTTTTGTTATCTTTCTGTCTGCACCCTCCCCGTTGGCTTGTCAGTCAGAGAAAACTACAACAATCCCGAAATGATTCGAAATGAGGCCGCCCCATCCATCTGAGTGTTTCCCCGTGAGACGAGGGGGTCGCCGGGGGGGTCCCAGGGGGGGGTCCCGGGGGGCGTGTCCCGGGGGGGGTCCCCCAGCTAGATGCGCGTTCTCCCGGGCGAGTCCCGGGAACCAAACAAGCTGCAAGACAAGCCAGGAGTGCCCCAAGAGGCCTCCAAGACGGTCCAAGAGACTCCCGAACCACCGAGCTATCGGCCCGTTAGACGCGCCCTCTGGACTGCCCAGGAGGCCTCCAGGACGCCGCAAGAAAACTTTAAGAGCACTCACGAGAGGGCTCCCAAGAGACAAAACGCATTGATTTCCATTAGGTTTTGTAAGGATTTGAGCGTTCGCGCCTTTTCCGTTTCCCACCTCTCCAAGACGGCCCAAGAGGCCCCCAAGATCGCCCCAAGACGGCCCAAGAGGCCTCCAAGAGGATCCCAAAACACCCCAAGAGGACCCCAGACAGCCCACAACGCATGCAAGGCGGCCCAAGGCCCCCAAGATGGCTCAAAGAGCGTGCCCAGACGGGGGACCCGAACGAATATTTCGAGCCCTCGGCTCCGAGCGGCTCCCAGGAGGCCACAAGGTTCCCAAGAGGCCTCAAAAGGCCCACAAGAGGTCCCCAGGAAGCCCGAAGAGGCCCCCAAGAGGCCCCCAAGAGGCCCCCAAGAGGCCCCCAAGAGGGCCCAAAATTCCTCCCAAGAGACCCCCAAGAGTTTTCCGAAAAGACCCTAAGAAGCATCCCTGAGGACTCTGGCCCACGTCAGCGTCGCCGTCGTCGTCGCCGCCGCTGCCGCCGTTGTCGTCGTCGTCGTCGTCGTCGTCGTCGTCGTCGTCGTCGTCGTCGTCCCCCTTCAGGGTCGGCGGCACCGGCCGTACGGCCTTCGCAATAAGCTTGTACAGTGAATATTCCACCATGTTCGTAGTTCGTACTGGTTTGTGTAGTAACGCGAGCTTCTTTCTCAAACCGTCTATGCGAATTGCTCGCGTCTCTCTTCAGTGGCCATGGTCTGGTAAGACACTCTGAAGCAACAAACTGGGTTGCTTTCCAGCAATCCCACGACAGTACAAGCGAATGTGTGTGTGGGGGGGGCGATGTGGAATAGAAGGCGCAATTGTCCTTCATGTGAACTCCGTGCTGCTTGTGGATCAAGCAGGACCCGACTGATGGCAAGACATTGAAGTTTATATGTGATGCAGCTGCTATTGAACACGGTACTTCCTTGACGCTTATTTCAAACAGCAGGTCGTACACGAGATCGGTTGGCGGCAATATGACGCGACAAACTCAATTGTCCAAACAAACACATGTCTTGTTCAAGTCCTGGTTTTTCTAGTTGTTCCAGCCCCAGCGGGCGCAATATCAACATACCCTCTGCCAATCAGGTTTTACGATCTGGCATCTCCTGGCGTGGGTGCGTCTTGTTCTTTCGCGTCTCCTCATGTTGGTCGTCTTTTTGTTCAAGGTTACACTCATAACCCCATCGGAGTCAAGTGCGGCACATAGCGAGACCATGGGGTGGGATAACGAAATGCAAGCTCTCGCCTCGTCCCTTGCCTGGGGCGCGAAGCGCGAGACGAATTTCTGCAGTGGGGGCATTATGTACCCTCCTCGCGGGTCGGCGATCTCTCGATGCTGCCCGCGGCGACCTAGCAAAAGGAGGAGGAGGAGGAGGAGGAGGAGGCGGAGGCGGAGGCGGAGGAGGAGGAGGAGGAGGAGGAGGAGGAGGAGGAGGAGGAGGGAAAAGAGGGGGAGGAGTGGGATGCAAGGACGCGATGGAGGGGGTAGAGCGGGAGATGAAATGGGAGGAGGGGAGGTGAAGGAGGGAGGGTGGGAGGAGGGAGGGGGGAGGGAGGAGGACGAGGGGCCTGAACACAAGCACCTGCTCCTGCACTCCAGCAGCCGAGGGCCACCGAAGGAGGCGCCAGGCCACAGCACTCGTGGAGCGGGGGCCGACCGGCTCCCCACGAGGTGCCATCCTCGCACGCGGTCGCCGGCGTGGCTTCTGCCGCCTCCTCCCATCCTCCTCGCCCTTCCCCAACTCCCCGCTCCCCGCCTCCCTTCGCCCCTCTCCCTCCCCATCTGCTGCCCCCCCCCACCTGGATGTGGGCCACGAACACCTTGCAGGCCTTGTTCCGCGTCCCGCGGCGGAAGAGGTAGTCCTCGAACAGCGTGCGGCACGCCTGGACCCCCTCGACGTCGCAGCAGTTGATGAAGGCGAAGCCTGCAGAGAAAGGCGAGCGCCCCCACCACCACCAGGCCTGCGCGGGCTCCGAGATCTGGCCTGGACTGGCCAACCGGGGGCCGAGGTGCACCAGGACTCCTCCTCCTCCTCTTCCTCCTCCCCCTCCTCCTCCTCCTCCTCCTCCTCCTCCTCCTCGTTCTCCTCCTCCTCCTCCCCCTCCTCCTCCTCCTCCTCCTCCTTCTCCTCCTCCTCCTCCTTCTCCTCCTCCTCCCAGGGTCCCTCAGACCTCCTGAGTATCCCCCTTGGCGGTGTTGGGAGCTTTTTCCTCCCGGAAGACCAGCGTTGCAGCGGCCGGGTGCGTCCCAGGGGAGGTGCAGGAAGTTGAAGCTGACCTTCGAGCCCAGCACCTCCTTCTGGGCGCCCCAATGAAAGCCACGGGGATGACAAGAGTCGGCCTCCTCTTTCCCCAACCCGTCCTGTCTTGCAGTCGCAAATGTGCAAGTCACCCGAGTGGCGGTCGCACGAGGGACGACAAAAGCTCTGCCAAGGCCAGGAAAGCTTCGTCCGCGGCATTGGCTTCTGGAAGAGAAGATGAAACAGATGCAAGCTTTCCTCTTGATCCTCCTCCTCCTCTTCCTGCCCTGCCCCATGGGGAGTGTGGAAGGGTTGGGGGGGGGGGGGGGGGGGCGAGTCTCGCGTTCCCCTAGGTCTTGGCTACCCTGATCCTTGACCTCCTTCAGGAGCACGTCGGGGGTGTACTTCTGCGGCAGGTTGCGGAGCATCAGCGTCGTGATAGGACCTTTCATTGCCCCAACGACGGGTGGAGGGGGCATAAGCTGAGTCCAGGTCCTCCAGAAACCGGTCACGAGCCACACCCGTGTGCTCGCTTCTCGAGCCAAAACGGCAATGGACGCCCTTCTATCCTCCCTTCTCTATTCACCATTCTTCTCACTCTCCCCCACTTCCTCCCAGCTCCCCTCCACAAGCCGAGTGGATGCGAGACCCGGTGTTCGAGCTACCCCCCTTCCCGACGGCACCGGGGCGCGCGCCCTGCGACCACTCGGCAGCCGGGGCCGAGCTCGTCGGACCAAGAGCAGGGCCTCAAGACGCCGAATGGTCCTCTCGCTCGCGCCCCGTCCTTCCTCCCTGCGTCCTGCTCCCTGCTCCCCCGCCCTCTGCCCTTCCCTCCTCCCATCATCATCATCATCATCATCATCATCATCATCATCATCATCATCAACATCATCAACATCAGCATCATCAGCATCATCAACATCACATCAGCATCATCAGCATCATCATCATCAGCAGCAGCAGCATCAGCATCATCAGCATCATCATCATCATCATCATCATCGTCATCATCGTCATCATCAGCAGCAGCAGCATCATCATCATCGTCATCATCATCAGCATCATCAGCAGCAACAGCCTCATCACCAGCATCGACATCATCATCAACAACAGCCTCATCAGCCTCATCATCATCAGCATCATCATCAACATCATCATCAACAACAGCCTCATCATCTTTCTCCCTGCCCCCTGCTCCCTCTTGCCTCATCCATCGTGCCTCCTCCCTGCTCCACCCTCCCGCGGGCGCACGAGGAGGCCAAGGCGCCGCTGGCGGCGGCACGCGGAGAGCGGCGGCCCGCTGGCGGGCGCTGGCGCGACGCCGCGACGCCGCTCTGCCACGGACCCAGGCAGTGACAGGGAATGGCCTCCGGGAGCTCGGGTGCCGCGCTCCGCGGCCCTGGCCGGCCGGGCCGGCCTCCTGCGCAGCGGCATCTCGGCGCACGGGGCGGCCGCAGACGCACCGGACAGGGCGACCTCCAGCGGACGGGAAAGGCGCTGGGCGCTGCGAAGGTGCCGAGAGCAGCGGGCGGAGGCCTTGGCGTCGCCGATGCCTGGCAGCGGCTGGATGAGGTCCACTCGGCCCAGCACGCGCCGCAACCAGGCGAAGGAAACCTCTAACTGAGGCCGCCGATAGACGCGCTGTCCTGGCCGATGCGAAGGGGTTCTCGACCTGGGGCAGCTCGAAAGCTTGTGGTCAGGAAAGGGATGTCGCCCGAGAAGAGGCTGCTGTGCGACCCCGTGTGCCACAACGTGGGTATCACCGCGTACCGTGACGAGCACGACCAGTTACCAGAGACTGGCATGCATGTCATGGTGAATGCGGCCGCGAGCAGAGTGCACGGCGTGGCAAACGACTACGCAGAGCATGTGCACGGCACCGAGCAGCAGCAGCGGGATGGTGCGGATCTCCCAGTCGGTGGACCTCTCCAGCACCGGGAGGCGCTCGGCCACAGGGCAGCACGCCGAAGGGCTTCGGAACGTAAAAGGAGGGGGGCCTGTATACGCTGTCCAAAGACTGGGAGGGCGTGCACGAGGAGGCGAAGGGGAGCGAGCCCGGGTCAGAGCAGAACGGCGAGGCGGCAGAGGCGAAGGAGCTCTCTGGCAGAGGCGCTCGCCGACGCACCCGCCGTGCAGGCCGAGATCGGGCCGACGGTGGCGGGCCTTCACGCCTACCCTGCGCGGCCGAGCAGGCCTCCTTTGGGCCCCAGGGGGGCCCCCCGTACGGTCGGGGGC